AACCAGGCCTGGTTTCATGAGAATTCTTCCGAATTGGGGTTTGGACTTTGTGGACTGACAGTTGCTTTGTCAGAGGAACCTGATTAGTTGCTTTGTCAGAGGAACCTGATTAGCTCTATGATATACAGTAACTTTGCAAGCAGAAGCAAAAACATAACTAATTCTGGTAAGTTTTTGTACATTTGAATAATATTCTCCAAGAATCAAGAATTATTAAAAGAATTGTTACCTAGTAAATGGTAAACATTGTCCAACTGCTGCTAAGAGTAAGGCATTGAATGTGTTTTTACAATAAAATGCCCTGATGTTCACATGAGCAAATTGTTTTCTGGCAATATAACTACAACTTCATGTCCTTTTTGAATAAACTTCTCTATTACAAGTTCCATGCTAGACCAATGACTTCAGTCCTGTGGCACAACTAATAGCTTTTCACTGTTAGCAAAATGTCACAAATTGAATAAAAATATAAACCTAAAAACAATGACAAAAACTATTATATCAATGACTTAACTTGTTATATGTACAGGGTGCAGATACTATAGAATTACACTATCACTGTAGCCTATTATATCAGTCAAAAATTAAAGAAAACATCCTAATAATTCCCAGAAGCCACAACAGAAAAAAATCAGAAATTTGTTTTAATTTATCAAGTAAATATTTAATAGATGTCCTCTATTGATATAAATATTTAATAGATGTCCTCTAATTTATCAAGTAAATATTTAATAGATGTCCTCTATTGAACCATGCATCACCATGGCTATAATTCTAATTATGCTACAATATTAAACTAGTAACAATACTGCCAACTGAGTTTATGTTATATATTAACAAAAGTTTATTTGAGAATGAAAGATATAGGTGATACAGCATAAAAACAGCATTATCTCAGCACCAGTGGAGGTGACAGAAATTCATAAGTACCCTTTGATCACATAGATTTTCTCCAGGAGGATTTGTCCCCAACCTGGTCCTTCAGATCTTCTAACAATACACCCATCACTGCTGTAACTGAATCCATTCATGTTGCTGCTGGTCATCCTCTTCCTTCTCTGTTTCCCAGCATTATGCACTTTTTTAGAGAACTGGGTCTTCACACAATGTGTCCATAGTATGATAATTTGAACCTGTCACTTGTGCCTTGAGTGAGAGTGGGTTGATGATCTACAGTATTTGTTTTCTTGGCTATCCATGGTATTCTCAGGATTCTTCTCCAACATTCTTTCTATCCTGCTTCTTCAAAGTCCAACTTTTGCTTCCACAGAGTGTCACTGTGAACACTGCACTGTGATAAAGAACCATTTACTATTATTTTGGCTTTTTGTTGTTTGCAAATGCTCTGTACCCATGTAAGAAAATGAGAGTCACAACCTTTCTTTTTCAAAACTGCAGGGATTAAAGACCGTTCCAAACTGTCAAAGGCTTTTTCTGCATCCAAAAAAACCATAGTCACATTTTTTACACATTTCTCTTGTCAATAATATTTAAATGTTTCTGATACTTTCATCACATACCTCTTCGGGATAAATCCAGTCTGATCAGAATGCATCATTTTGGTTAGGAAAGCCATTTATTTTCTTAGCAAGAACTGTTGTGAAGAAGTCCAGAGTTCTTTTGTGATGAGGTCACAGGAGGGAAGATCAAGCACTACAGTAATCAAGAGAACATCCATTTAAGTGGAAATCAGCTTTCCTTACTGCTCTGAAACTTATTTGAATTTATTTTTTCTTATTTATTTGTTGCATTTTTATCCTACTTTCAGATTGTTCTCTCCCACAGCAGCTTATTGTCAATTTAAAAAAATGAGAGTGCTCCTGTTCTCAGTCTTATAAATTAAAAACAAGACACAAAAAGGAAGGGGAGGAAATGGAAATAGCAGAACTGGTAGAGAAGCTTTAGGTCTTAAGGGCATAGTGACCCATATAGTTGACATTAAAAGCCACAACATTCATTAATTATTTTAAATACTCAATTAGGCATATTTAATTGATGAACAAAAATGCCACAATAAACACGTCAGGAAATGTTAAATATTAGAAAACGCAATTTTAATTCAAATAATTATAAAAGCAGCAGTTGGAACAGGTACGAAAATACCTCTTCTAAAACAAGCGTATACCATTTTTTAATTCGTAAGCCTGCGCAGATGTAATTGTTTTATTTGATACAACTTACAGATATACATTTGATTGACAGCCCCGTTTCTTAACAATTACTTAAGATACGGTTTCTCACAACTGAAATCTTGCGAAGTTTCAGATCGAAGAGAACAAAAGGAGAAAAGTTACAAGCATCAGCGGCCTGTTTGACAAGTTCTACTCCGTTGATATTAGCACCCAAAAAGCACTTCTCGTAAACAGACTTGATACTCATAATAAGATAAGGGGCACACCTCTACACCCGCGACTTCCGACAGTTGGGCCATATTCTAATTTCGCTCCTTGGTGCCCAACCACCCGACGGCTAACGTCATCGCCTCCGCTCGTTCGGCCCAATAGGAAGAGAGGAAGAAGGAGGCGGAGGCGGAGGCTGCTTGCGCGTTGCTAAGGTCGCAAAGTTGGGTGGTAACTAAGGTGGAGGCGGAGTGCGCATGTGTGGCCTGCGCAGCACCGGGAGTTTATCTGGGCCTGGTGAGGAGAGATCCTACCGAGCGCTGCAATGCAGGGCTCCGTGGTCCGGCGTACGCAGGAGATGCTGGGGCGCGTGATTCGAAAACCGCCCCTCACGGAGCGCCTTCTCAGCAAGCCCCCCTTCCGCTACCTGCACGACGTAATCGGGGAGGTCAGGCGAAGCGAAAGAGACGGGAAAGAGGGGGAGGAGGGGAAGCGGCCGGTCGCGTTTTCCAGTTGCCTGGCAACCCGAGGAGGAAGCCATAGAAGAGACGCGTATGCAGAAGGGTTCCCCAAGGCAGCAGTTTTCCCCCATCCTGCTTGGTCCCAAGGTTGTCTGTTCTTCAGTCAGCCCCTCTAGTGGCTCTTATAGATAGAGAAACATGCCTTGGATTATGTCGCAATCCATCGCATGAAGGTACCAAGGACAGAAAGAGAAGATGCTGCAGTCTTTGTTGATTAAAAACAGTAAACACATGTACAAAGAACTTCAAATTTCACCGTCCTTTCCATTAGCTCTTGCTTGTAAAAGTCATATTTTAAATAGATTTGAAATTTCAAAAATAGAGCTATGGCTTTATAGATAAGGAAGCTCAGCATTAATATGAATAGTGCTATGACTTTGATCTTTTCATTCTTTGAACAAGTTTGGCTTGTTTCTGTTAAAGGCATAGCTACATAGGCCTAATTAGGAATAAGGGAGAATTGTATACTGTATTAGTGGTGGTGTGAGGATTTAATTTTATTCCAGGTAACTTTGTAATATTGTAAAAATGAACTGTAATTATATAAAATTTTATCAACTAGAGCAATGTTTCTCAACCTTGGAAACTTGAAGATGTGTGGACTTCAACTCCCAGAATTCTGGAAGTCCACATATCTTCAAAAGTCACCAAGGTTGAGAAACACTGAACTAGAAGCTATTGTATCAAGTGCGTCATTATTTTCTATTATCAGATTTAGGCACAGGGGAGAGAAGTTAACATTAAAAACAACTATGAAATGCAAAAGATGTCTGGTTTTGCTTTATGAAGAACTGTGTGGGCTAGTGGCTGGCTTGGAAACCCAACCATACATCGTAACATTAGGCTAATTGCTCTACTCAACCTAGTTGTTTTTTAAAAATTTTTAGTCATTTCAGAAGAGAAATTTTATATTTCTATTGAAATCAGTTGGTGTTTGGCTGGACTGTTCTATAGAACTGCTCTGTAGAGCCACCCCTACTCAAGAATGGCAATCAAAAGATTTTTTCAGAGATACAGCTGGCAATCGTTCTGTAGTTATAAAGAGATGAATTGCAGGGAATATTATTGGTCTAGGTTTACTTGTTTGTTTGTTATTTGTTCTACAACAGAAGCATTCCCTGAACAGAATTATGCCACAGGGGCAGTTTGTTCCAGTTCCTATTGAAGCTTTCACTAATTCAGTCTTCTCCCCTCTTTCTGAAGTAGATTTGTGGAACATAGAGAACTACCGTTGAAGTGGGAGAAAGCTGCTAGTGGGAGTCCTCCACTTGACTTTATTTGTTGATGCACAGATTGAAATCTTTGTTGATTTGTTTTCCCATTTGCCTGCAAACTTACTTTTTCACAAAATGTAGTAGACCTAGGTACTGTGAGACCATGAAAGCATAACAAATGATCCACAATACTACTGTAACCAATTGGTGGGTCCTGCTTTAGGTTTGACTATTATTGTTGAATTGTGCCAAATCCACCTTTTACTGGATAAAAACTGTTTTAGCCATGGCTATATTGTATTGCTCTGAATTGGTCCATTTTTAATATAAGTTGAATGTATTGAAGAGAATTGTCCCTAAACCAGTTAGTACTCAATTTTTTTTTCTTTTTAATATATATACTGAAAATTTCTAAATCCATCCCAACTTCTATGGGAACTTCCATTGCCCATCAGCTTGCTGTCCCACATGTACTCCTGGAGAACATCTAGTTTCTATATTATAAGAAGAACTTTACTAAACTATAGATGCAAACTATAGCTTAAATGTGGTATGAGAATACTAGAAAAAGTAGAATTTATTGTGGATTAATGTGCTTATCTCTAAAATTGTTTGAACCTGTTCTAATTATTTTGTATGCTTTAGAAAGATCACATTAAACAGAATTGCAATATGTACGAAGACTTACTGAAAAATCTTCAGATTGTCTGCAGAAATCACCACAATTATTTCGTTTCAAGATTCAGATGTTTTTAAGTGTTATGTTATGCAGTTGTATTTGCATTTTATATTGTTAAGTTGTCCATAAAGTATATGAATTTGAGAAATGGTACCATAATAAAGTTAAAATTATTGTTTTAAAGGTAATTAGATCAACTGGTTTCATGAAAGGATTGTATACAGAAGCAGAGATGAAATCTGATAATGTTAAGGTATGTATGCACTCTCATTTAATTTTTTTAATTTATAAAATATTTCATAGATGCAATTCCATTAAGTCTCATTTGATATAATGTCAGAATTGTGCCAAAGTGCTATTTTTATAATTTAAAAACTATTTGCCTTTAATATCACAATTTATATTGAAATCTGTAGAGTTTATTTAACAGTATGTTGTTTTATTCAGGATAAAGATGCAAAAATCATCTTTCTTCAGAAAGCAATTGATGTGGTCATCATAGTGACAGGAGAACACTTGGCAGTGAAGCCTGCACGTGTTGTTGCAGGACATGAACCTGAAAGAACAAATGAATTTCTCCAAGCAATTGCTAAATGCTGTCTCAATAAGGTATGATGTTACCAGACAGCATTAAATTGTGAAATATTGTCTTCATTGAATTTTCTATTCAAACACAATTTCAGAGTCTAGCTGAAGGAGAGGTGGTTTCAGGGGGAAGATTGGACTCAGGAGAAAAGCTCAGATGATTGTTGCAGGGGGAGAATTAAACTTCTCTCTTTTACCCAATGCTTTTCCTTTGAAATTTGCCACTTGGTGGAGGAACACCAGCATGTAAAGTTCAATTATCTACAATGCAGCATGGAGATAATTCAATTAATAAAATTGGACTTTATTTGAAGGGTCAAGAATATATTATCTTTTGAAATTTTTGCTTAATGTGGAAAGATAGAATATAATAAAAATAGCACAAATAATTATTTCAGTACTCTCATTCCAGTGCGTTTAACATAACCTGATAAACTGTAGGTACAGTATTGTTTATTCTTGTTATTTCTATACTGCTACATAAAATACACCTCTCTAAGCAGTTTACATAAACATAACTAAAAATATAAGAAAAATTAAAACTTCTCACTGCTTAATTGTGTAGGAAGTATAGTCCAAATGTTAATTTCCAAAGATCTGTCAGCTCTTTTTGAAAGATGACTAAAGCCAGGCCTAACTGGATCTTGTGGGAGGGGGTGTTGTCATATTCCAGACTGTTTAGGCAATAATAGAGAAATACTGTTTCTGGGCCTCTATCCCTTCATCTCCTAAACTGAAGAAATCTGGAATGTCTCCTCTTAAGCAGAATGGGCATGCTGGCCAGAGTTAGCTTAAAGAAGACAATTGCATAGATATCTGGGACTTTATACTGTAGGGTTTTATTGGTTAAAATGGGCACCTTGAATTGTTCTTGGAAATGTGTTCAAAGCACACAGCATTCACAAATATTACTGATTTTTCTTATGCCCATAAATGTATGGGTTGCTGCATTTTGCATCAGTTGTAGCTTCCAGATACTCTTCAAGGGCAGCACATTGCAGTCATCCATTCTGGAGATAATGACAGCGTGAATGGCTGTTTCTAGAACTTCCTGCTCTAAAAAAGGGCCACAACTAGTCCACTAGTCAAAGCTAGGCAGAGGCACCACTGGCTACCACTTCCACCTGCTGATGTAGGTGGAGCCTTGACTCCCAAGAGTACTCCCAAGTTGCAAACGTGCTCTTTCAGCAATAACGTGACCTGTCCCAGAGCCAATGGCAAAGCCACTCTGTCACCAAGTGGTTGCTGGACAAACAGCCACTCTATCTTGTTAGGATTCCATCTTAACTTGCTTTATTCCATCCAGACCCTTACAATTTCCAGACCTCCATAGCATCTCCTGTTTGGCTCTAAGTCTTCACATTCATTCTCATTTATTCAACTCTCTTGTGGGGTTTACAAATCATCTATTATGTGGGTTATTACAGCAGGAATGAGGCATGGGGTATTTGTCATCAATACCTACATCAATTTATCATACCTTCCTGAGATCTCCATTCTCACATCCACTGTATCTGAGTTCTAGATGTGTGGGTGGGCTTTTCTTCCAGGTGAAAGGGTTCCACTTGGCCAGGTAGTTATGCTGTCACACCTATTCTTAAATAGGGAGATGCCTCCCCCCCCACCTGGAAACTGGATGGGGTAAATTAGGAAATTCACCTTCACTGGGAGTAAGCTCCATATTTTCACCAGTTGTGGAATGAATGGCATTAGCTTACAAACCCAACACTGAAGTAATCAAAATAAAAATAATTTTATTTTAATCAAGGAAGCAAAGTAAGGATTTGTGAGAATAGTTCAGCCACAACCAATAACGTGAGACTAAGATCTGCATACCAAAATTTGGTCTAGTGGTGAAGGCATCAACTGGGAAACTCTGAGTTCTCCTCTAACCTTAGTGACCTTGGGCTAGTCACTCTCTCAGCCCTAGGAAGCAGGCAATCGAAAACACTTTCGAAAAACCTTGCCAAGAAAACTGTCCAGGCAGTTGCCAAGAGTAAAGATCGACTCAGAGGCATCAAAATAAATACATCT